ATAAACAGTGTTGAATTCCCCCATATTTCGGAATGTGCCGGGTAGCGTTATAGGGGAAACTGGAAAACCACTCCAGTGATGCTAGCACCATGGTGAGCGCTCTGGCTCCTCCCCTTACAATACGGCTCAAGCACCCTTAGGTATCGGAAATATGCAGGTTTTTATAGCCCAGTTATAAAGTGTAGATGTCCGAGTGAATGGGGAATCTACGGTTTCCCGTGCGTATCCTATCCTTGAGGCAAAAGCTAAGCCCCTCACCGCAATAACAAACCTGTGAACATGATAAACTCTTAGTCTTGAGCAATACGGCTAGCCATTATTTATAAATTATAGGGAAATTCCAATGCTTCCATCGCGGCAGGGGATGCCCCAAATAATATATATCTTTGTAACATGTTCCAAACCTATGCATCGAGTGATAATATATGATTTAAATTCTTCTTGGTAATACCACTAAATCTAGCTACACCACTCGCCACATTAACATCCGCGCGGCCGACTTGAAGCCGGACACCTGGTAACAGAAATTGAGCTGCAGGCCAATCAAGTAACGAGATTCCCTCGATTCCTGGCCTCCGATTGGCCCGCGGATGACTAAGTTCGCCACAGTGTCCGGCTCCAATTCGGCCGCGCGAGTATGGATATGAAGGGAAACGGAGCGTAACCTTACTCAAAAAACCCAGGGCCCTACACCTTAAACTTAAATTGTAGAGTTACCATCTGCCCCGCTAGCTAGCAAAAATCTACCAGGTTGTACAACCTAAACTAGTAAATTATATAATAGACCTTGAGTATCCGCCGAGCATGCTTGAAAATAGTAATAGGGCTGAAAAAACAATCAGCTCCTCCGGCCAATTCCCTATTTTTTTATATCACATATCTCAAACACGCCAAACGGGAGCTGACCGGATTGATCTTAGTGAGAAGCCTCAGCACCGCGTCAAGGTGTCAATCCAAGCTGAGGTACCTAAATAAACCAAAAGTTAGCCTCATATCATAAAATATTAGAAAGGAATAGACTGTGTCCGATACAGGGACAACATCTCCAAACCGAAGGAGCCAGGGGCTAATTATGTCAGTTGTTTTTCCGGGGGGGCGCAAACACGGGAAGGAATTAAAGGGGGAAGGAAAGGGTGCGGAAGGGAGGGGTAGGGAGGGGTAGGGAGGGGAAGGGGGGGGGAAGGGGTGAAAGGAAAGGGAGGGGGGAAGGGAAAGAGGGGAAACTATAGGAGAAGAGGGGAATGAGAGGCAGTGTTCCCAAGCGTCCAGTCCGTCCGTCCTTGGCTTCGGACGGGACGGAC